TTTTTTTTTTTTTCTCATTTTAAAAAAAAATAGATATTTTTTTTTCACTTCACTTCCCGCCGGCTCCGCCCCCCTGCGACGCGGCCACTCGCAAGGGACGGAAGTCGGCAGCCGCCGTAGGACACAGCGGGGATCGCGGACCAGGTAAGACCTGTACGCTGTATTCCCCAGTGTGGCTCGGGGTTGCCGCTTTGTTAACCTCGATCCACACTCGGGAATAGCAATGGAAACGCGCGGAAAAACGCCCCAAAGAAGCTCCTGTACTCCTTTGGGCGTAGGGCGTTTTTCAGCGCCTTCCTACGCGCTGTAAAACGCCCAGGTGGGAACCATGCCCATAGGCAATCATTGGTTTTCACATGTTGAGCGTTTTACAGCACGTAGGAACGCGCTGTAAAATGCCCAGGTGTGAACCAGGCCTAACACTGGGTATTTGAACAACAGCTGAAGAGCGATAGGCATAAGATCTTCAGTAGGAGAGACACCAGACTTGCTTCTGAGGTCAGTTTTATTCCAGGCACTTCCAGGAGCCATCAGCTTCCCTGGCTCTCCTTCTCAATCAGTATTAGCCCCCCTCCAGACTTGAGGCTTAGCAAGGCATTTCCCGCACTTGAGCATTCCCACACCCAGGCCTAACACTGAGCGCAGGCTGGACTAAACTGCAACCAGGACTAAAGGTGGCCATGCACCTTACAACCATTGTACAACTTTTGTTGTCCAGACATCTCACCCTCGTTCCATTTTCTTACTACTAGCCCATCATGCACAGTTCACAATTAACGCTCATCAGCACCACTAACTGGCTGATTTTCATCGATCGAAAGGACAGATTTTCGTTTGAGCATGTGCAGTTTTCATCTTGAGATTTTTGTTGTACAACACAACTAACCTGTCAATTTTCATACAATTAGACAAATGTTTTCTAGCCTGCTTGAAAGACAGAAATCTGCCAGTTGTACAGTAATGGAGGTTGTGCACTTCCCATCAACTGGCAGATTTTCGGACGAAAACGTCAATGCCAGAACATCTGGAATTAACCAGGTAAATGCCAACTGTGAGTCAGGCAGACTTAGTACAGCTCTGACCAATCCCCCCCACCACCTTTGTGACATTAGCTACTGGTCCAGGAATGTCCTAGCCGCAAATGATTGGGCCGGAATAAGGAAGATGCATCAATTACAGTTTTGCATGCACTCGGGTGAACTGGGTTTGCGCTAAGCCCTTGTACATCATTACTGGTAAGCTTCTGTTGATATCTCTGCTGTTCAGCTCAGGTTAAAGAAGAACTGTGGGAATTTCAAAACTTTTCCCTTGCAGTTGGGCTACCTTTGCACTATAAGGGTTAAGTGCTCGTTTTGTCTAGGAGGCTCAAATAAAGCAGATATACTCACTTAAACCTTGGTCCCACCAGGCTGCTAGACTGGTCCCCACAGCCTCTTCTACCTTGGGCTCTGGCAGTCTAAGGACCCGTGACGTCATCCCGTCTAATCAGATCCATTGACTTGCATTAGATGTAAAGATGCCCAGGGACATTCCATAGGGGGAGAGAGGTGAGCGCTAACCGCTGCAGGGCCAAGGAATAGGTGAGTAAAACAGCTTTGAGCCCCCTAGACAAAAGGAGCACTTAACTCTTGCAGTGCTGGGGTAGCCCTCTTGCAAAGGATACATTTTTTTAATTCCCACAGTTTTTCTTTACCGCTCCTGTGCTCCATCAGCTTTTTATCCTAAGCTACTTTATGGTCTCATTTTTATTCATTTTAATAATCCTAGAAGTGAGTGAATACTTCTACATTGACAGATCCTGCAGCTCGCATAGAAAACATAAGCCAAAGGCCTCTGAGCACAGTCCTTTTTTAATATAAATGTATGTCCACTTTTTTCATTTAAGCTCAGGAGGTCTTCTCAGTCTCGGAGCATTGATTTGCAACTTGATATGTCTTTTATGCGTGGCTAGGATCAGCAAACCACATTGACAAAAACACAGCAGCCAGATTGTGGGAGCAGCTTGTTAAGTTTATGGCTCATTAATATTCATATATGTAAACAATGTTGGTCATGGATGAATTTATAACTGTTTTGAAAATGTTCAGTCTGTGTTCACTTTGTGTTGACCACACGACAATGGACTGCAAGTATCCTACCTCCTGTTAGAGCAGATGGTATCTGGAGATCATCTGGCAATCTGATTTATGAATATGCCTCATTGGTTGAAAACGTTGTTAAATACATCATGTGTATTTCCCCACTTCTCTTCTCATTGTTAATCACTGTATCTGCAGGGTGAGCTCCGTACTCCAGAGAGATGTCAAGCAGTTTGGCAAACAGTTTCTCTTTGACCACAGAGATGAGACGTGTTGGAACTCTGATCAGGTACAGTTATGGTAGCCTTTGATCTAGCAGGCTGATCAGGTGCAGTCATGGTAGTCTTTGGTATGACAGGCTGATCAGGTACAGTCACGGTAGCCTTCGGTCTGGCAGGCTAAACAGGTAGTCATGGTAGCCTATCGTCTGGAAGGTTTATCATGTACAGTCATTGTAGCCTTCTGTCTGGAAGGTTTATCGGTTACAGTCATGGTAGCCTTCTGTCAGGAAGGTTTATCGGGTACAGTCATGGTAGCCTTCTGTCAGGAAGGTTTATCGGGTACAGTCATGGTAGCCTTCTGTCTGGAAGGTTTATCAGGTACAGTCATGGTAGCCTTTGATCTGGCAGGCTAATCAGGTACAAGTACAGTCATGGTAGCCTTCTGTCTGGAAGGTTTATCAGGTACAGTCATGGTAGCCTTTGATCTGGCAGGCTAATCAGGTACAAGTACAGTCATGGTAGCCTTCTGTCTGACAGGCTAATCAGGTAGTTATGGTAGCCTTCAGTTTGGAAGGCTTATCGGGTACAGTCACGGTAGCCTTTGATAAGGCAGGCTGATTAGGTACAGTCATGGTCACCTTTTGATCTGGCAGGCTGATCAGGTACAGTCATGGTAGCCTTCGTTTTAACAGGCTAATAAGGTAGCCATGGTAGACTACGGTCTGGAAGGTTTGTCAGGTACAGTCATGGTAGCCTTCAGGCTGGAAGGCTTATCAGGTTCAGTCATGCTAGCCTTCTGTCTTATAAAAATGCACTGCTCTTTCAGATCTTCTCCAAATCTGGTCCCGACATGCTGTAAACAAGCCCCAAGTCCATTTTTTTTTTTTTGGTGGCTGAAACCTTTAGTAACACCTAGTTTAGCCTTCAATATTTAGTCACGGTGCCTCCTATGGAATTCTACTGTCACAATCAGATTTTCTCAACTGTTTTTGAGCCAGGGCAACCTCTAAAAGTATGAAAAATCCCGAGGCACCCCATTCTAAAATGTAAAACATATATGAAAAGAGTGTCCCCCACCCCCAAAATATATACCAGACCCTTTTGACAGTCATGGTAGCCTTCTGTCAGGAAGGTTTATCGGGTACAGTCATGGTAGCCTTCTGTCTGGAAGGTTTATCAGGTACAGTCATGGTAGCCTTTGATCTGGCAGGCTAATCAGGTACAAGTACAGTCATGGTAGCCTTCTGTCTGGAAGGTTTATCAGGTACAGTCATGGTAGCCTTTGATCTGGCAGGCTAATCAGGTACAAGTACAGTCATGGTAGCCTTCTGTCTGACAGGCTAATCAGGTAGTTATGGTAGCCTTCAGTTTGGAAGGCTTATCGGGTACAGTCACGGTAGCCTTTGATAAGGCAGGCTGATTAGGTACAGTCATGGTCACCTTTTGATCTGGCAGGCTGATCAGGTACAGTCATGGTAGCCTTCGTTTTAACAGGCTAATAAGGTAGCCATGGTAGACTACGGTCTGGAAGGTTTGTCAGGTACAGTCATGGTAGCCTTCAGGCTGGAAGGCTTATCAGGTTCAGTCATGCTAGCCTTCTGTCTTATAAAAATGCACTGCTCTTTCAGATCTTCTCCAAATCTGGTCCCGACATGCTGTAAACAAGCCCCAAGTCCATTTTTTTTTTTTTGGTGGCTGAAACCTTTAGTAACACCTAGTTTAGCCTTCAATATTTAGTCACGGTGCCTCCTATGGAATTCTACTGTCACAATCAGATTTTCTCAACTGTTTTTGAGCCAGGGCAACCTCTAAAAGTATGAAAAATCCCGAGGCACCCCATTCTAAAATGTAAAACATATATGAAAAGAGTGTCCCCCACCCCCAAAATATATACCAGACCCTTTTGCTAAATAGGGGTCCGGTTAGGATTTTAACCACTTCCGGGCAGCCAGAAGTGGTAAAAACAAGAACACGGCTACTGCAGTAGCTGTGTTCTTGGGTGTTGTTTTTTAACAGTCCGTGATGGCTGTTAATGTACAAGCGATGCAGCGTCTGTAAAGCCGCAGGATCGTTTGTACCGTGCGGCGCTGCCGTTGGTTTCCCCGAGCTCCGCTGTCCCCTTGCGGCCCCCGAGACCGGCTTGGCGGGTCTCCCCGCAATGGTCGGAGAGAGATTCAGCGGCTTCTAGCCGCTGATCTCTCCTCCGATTACTGCACCCGGAAGTGATGTGTATTACAGAAGAGCCGGAGACACAGGGTCTGAAAGATCTCCTGATGTCTCCATAAAGAGGTCCTGTCACACCCTATCTGCTATTACATAGGGTGCTTGGTAGCCCTCTATGTGATGGCAATAGGGTTAATGTTAAAATCACTGTTGGCACTAAACTAATGAGCGGTAAAAGCGTTTAAAGTGTCCCCTATGGGAAATTTTGGGTATTGATGTTTTTTTGCGGCTTCACAGGCGAACACAATTTTAAGGCTTGACTTGTTTGATATCTATTTACCCCACGTGACCTTATCTTTTATATTTTACCAAAAAAATTGGGTATTATATTAAGTTTCTGTGCATAACATTTTAATTTAGTTTATTTTTTCCTAAATATACTGGTTTGATAAACATTTGCGCAAAAACCGTGCAACATAAAAAATTGCAACTAGCATTTTTTTTATTCTACAGGGCCGTTGCTGTCAGAACATATATAATTGTTTAGGGGTTTGAAGCTGTTTTGTAGCCAAAAATTCAGATTTTATCATGTGTGCGCAAATAGTAAGAAATTGCTCCATACAGCGAGTGGTTAAGGTGGATCGTCAGACAAAGTGTGGCTGCAACAGCATGTCATGGGGCGGGAGGTGGAGTAGGTCTGGACTGAGGCGGACTTCTGTCCTGTTTTGAATGCTTCGGAGGGACCTGGATACAACCCCTGGTAGATTAGTGTCATGCGTTTCTATGGTACTGGTGGTGGGCTTTCCTGCCCCATGAAAAAACATTGCACTGTGTGAACATTTTAAGGTTTAGATACAGTACATGTAATCTGTGTATCTATTTACCTGTAATTTTTACAGATGGAAACTAGTATGATAAAAAAAATCATCTGCTTCTGATTGTTCTTTTTTCTCATTCCAGGGGTCATCTCAGTGGATTGTACTTGAATTCCCTCAAAAAGTCAGTGTGTCTGAAATCCATATCCAGTTCCAAGGTGGTTTTTCCAGTAGAAACTGCGTTTTAGAAGGTAAGAACTGATTTAGCTAAGGAAGCTTTCAAAAGCGGCTGCATGAGGAGAGTGAAATACACTCATCCCCATAATTAGAGCCGATGCATGACACTGAAGCTGTCGCATGTCGGCTCTATTGATCGGGAAAACAAAGCGGTCACGTACCGCAGATCGCTAGTTCCCGATCTTCTCCCTGCAGAGATGACTGATTCCCCCCTCCCCTCTCCAATCCTCCAGAGCTGACTGGAGGAACAGACAAGGGAGAGGATAGGGCACAGCTGGCTCTGCCTCTAGAGAGGCAGAGCCAGCTGTCAATCAGGCAGGAGGGTGGATCCCAACAATTTTGCCAGGGACCCATCAAGGCTGGAGCACGGCTTTGCGCTGTAAGCATATAGCAGGCAATAGCCCACTATATGCTGAGTTTTGGGTCACAGGAGGACATAGTATATGTTCTCCTGTGATCCTTAAGAGAACTATGGGCAAAAATGTTTGGGCCATAGTTCTCTTTTAAATGCTGTTGAAGTTCATGGAACCGCAGCCAAACAGGGTACACATGCTGGAAGGACATGAAACAGACCATGCACTATCATAGGTGCATTCCACCATCACAAACATGTCATTGTGAGCAGGCAATGTCACCCTAATGATACTGATCACTACATTGACATGTACAGGTGAAACTTGAATAATTAGAATATCGTGCAAAAGTTCATTTATTTCACTAATGCAACTTAAAAGGTGAAACTAATATATGAGATAGACTCATTACATGCAAAGCAAGATAATTCAAGCCGTGATTTGTCATAATTGTGATGATTATGGCTTACAGCTCATGAAAACCCCAAATCCAAATGAGAATATTACATGCAATCAATAAAACAAGGATTGTACATAGAACAATATCGGACCTCTGAAAAGTATAAGCATGCATATGTACTCCGTACTTGGTTTGGGCCCCTTTTGCAGCAATTACTGCCTCAATGCGGCGTGGCATGGAAGCTATCAGCCTGTGGCACTGCTGAGGTGTTATGGAAGACCAGGATGCTTCAATAGCGGCCTTCAGCTCTTCTGCATTGTTCGGTCTCATGTCTCATCTTTCTCTTGGCAATGCCCCATAGATTCTCTATGGGGTTCAGGTGAGGCGAGTTTGCTGGCCAATCAAGCACAGTAATCCCACGGTCATTGAACCAGGTTTTGGTGCTTTTGGCAGTGTGGGCAGGTGCCAAGTCCTGCTGGAAAATGAAGTCAGCATCCCCATAGAGCTCGTCTGCGGAAGGAAGCATGAAGTGCTCCAAAATCTCCTGGTAGACGGCTGCGTTGACCCTGGACTTAATGAAGCACAGTGGACCAACACCAGCAGATGACATGGCTCCCCAAATCAACACAGACTGTGGAAACTTCACACTGGACTTCAAGCATCTTGCAGTGTGTGCCTCTCCATTCTTCCTCCATACTCTGGGTCCTTGGTTTCCAAATGAGATGCAAAATTTGCTCTCATCAGAAAAGAGGACTTTGGACCACTGAGCAACAGACCAGGTCTGTTTTTCTTTAGCCCAGGTAAGACGCTTCTGACGTTGTTTGTTGTTCAGGAGTGGCTTGACAAGAGGAATACGACATTTGAAGCCCATGTCCAGGATCCGTCTGTGTGTGGTGGCTCTTGATGCACTGACTCCAGCCTCAGTCCACTCCTTGTGAAAGTCCCCAACACTTTTGAATGGCCTTTTCCTGACAATCCTCTCCAGGCTGCGGTCATCCCTGCTGCTTGTGCACCTTTTTCTTCCACACTTTTCCCTTCCACATAACTTTCTATTAATGTGCTTTGATACAGCACTTTGGGAACATCCAACTTCTTTTGCAATTACCTTTTGAGGCTTTCCCTCCTTATGGAGGGTGTCAATGATGGTTTTCTGCACAACTGTCAGGTCAGCAGTCTTTCCCATGATTGTGATTCCTACTGAACCAGACTGAAGGTGCCCATACACTGCTCGATTCTCGTACGAGAATTGCGGGAAATACCGCGATCGTACGAGAATCGAGAAGTGTGAATGAAGACGTGCAACCGTTTCTACTGTACGGTTGCACGTCTTTTGTCTAAGGAGCACGCTAGAAAACCGTACGATTTTCGGCTGGTTTGAACGGTGCTCGGGAGACAAATGCCGAACAGGCCAGTGTGCGCACACGCACACTGCCCGTTCAGCATTGCGGTCATGCGATGATCGAGAGTACGATCTGCCTGTCCAAGATGGGCAGATCGTACGTTTTTTTTAATCACTTTACAACCATCGCAAGACTAAGGTCTTGCGATGGTTGTACAGTGTATGGCCACCTTGAGAGACCATTTAAAGGCTCGGGAACCCTTTGCAGGTGTTATGGCTTAATTAGCTGATTGGAGTGGGACACTTTGAGCCTAGAATATTGCACCTTCTCACAATATTCTAATTTTCTGAGCTGTAAGCCATAATCATCACAATGATGACAAATCACGGCTTGAACTATCTTGCTTTGCATGTAATGAGTCTATCTCATATATTAGTTTCACCTTTTATCAAGGTCATGTTGACCATGTCCAAATTTGACCTCAAATAATTTATTGGAGGCATCATTTGTGGTAGAGGTATTCGTATAGAATAGTGGCATTGTGTAGTATAGGGATTTGTAAAGCTGTAATCCAGGAGATTTAACAGACACAAATCAATACAGCTCTGTATCCATTATTACATCATTCAACCTGAACGGCCTGATTTTTCTCTGCTTCAGTTAGGTAACACTTAGGCTGGGTTCACACTTGGGCATTCGTAATATGCGCGTTTGACAAGCGTTTTGGGCCGCACGTTTTTACCGCGATTTGCGGTCAACGAAACGCACGACAAGCGCGCGTTTACAAGGGCTATACAGCTGTATCCTAATGGATACGCGTGGAAAATACGCCCCAAAGAAGCTCCTGTACTTCTTTGGGCAAAGGGCGTTTTTCAGCACGTTCCTACACGCTGAAATACGCCCAGGTGGGGACCATGCCCATAGGAAATAATGGGATTTCACTTGTTGGGCGTTTTACAGCGCGTCGATCAGCGCTGTAAAACGCCCAGGTGTGAACCAGGCCTTACAGGTCTCCTTCCTAGCCTATGACTGGACAGTAAAAGGAGTAGGTGCAAACTGATAACCTCATCCCTCTGCACTCTCCTCCCATTAGCATGCTCCTTCTGCTGCTGCACAAATGATTGGCTCTTTGTGATGCTTCTCCCACCTCCAGTCGGAGCTCTGTTATACAATGGACTGTACAGGATGACACCAAGTCAGATGCAGGTACTTACACTGCTTGCATATAAAATTCATTTAATAATCTATTAATGAATACAGAGCATCATTAATTTGCACAATTTATATTTGTGTGCAGTTCAGCTTTAATTGTTCTTTCTTTTTAACTTGAACTAGTTTTAAAACCTGAATTTTTACTTGGTATTACCCTCTTGCAATTCCCTGTGCAGCAGAGCTCAGATTGAAAAAGGAAATAGTAGTACAAGGAGCCAGTTGCACTGCAGTGCTTAAGTACTAACCAAGAGCATGCCTATGCAAGGAGAGAGCAGAGTGACTGAGAGATCATTTCATTACCCTGCACGGAGCATGGAGCCGTGTAATGACTCGCTGCCCGGCTACCTGATTGGTCGTGAAGCTGGGCAATCAGGAAGCGAGTCAATACTCGTCCCCCAAGTTCCTGATTGGCCAGAAATCTGTCTCCATGCTCCCTTGTCACCTGGTGATGAGGGAGCATGGGGCCAGCTTCCTGGCCAATCAGGAAGCCGGACACTGTGTAATGACATGCTGCCTGGCTTCCTGATTGGTCGGGAAGCTGACCAATCAGGCAGCCAGGCGGTGAGTCATTACCCAGCCCCCCCCCCCAGCTTCCTGTTTGACCAAAAAGGTGGCTCCATGCTTCCGCATCACCTGGTGACGAGGGAGCATGGAGACGGCTAACTGGAAAACCGGGTGTTGTCATTACACGCCGTCCAGCTTCCTGATTGTTCAGAAAACTGGCATTCAGGAAGCCAGGCAACAAGGGAACATAGAGCGAGTATCCCGGCCAATCTGGAACCTGTGTAATGACTCACCCCCCTCCTGATTGGCCAGAAAGCTGGCTCCACGCTTCCTCATCACCTGGTGATGTGGTAGCATGGAGACGACTTCCCAGCTAATTCGGAAGCTGGGCAGCGAGACATTACACGCCGCCCGGCTTCCTTAATGGGACTTTCGGTATTGGCGAGTACTGGAAAAAAAATATCCGTACTCGATACCGAAAAAACGGTATCTGTGCATCCTAGTCAGGGCTGTTTTGGCGGCTAGTGGGAGTGGTATTATCTTATGACCGGTGTATTTCATCTATGCATTTAGCTGTTTGCCTGAAATCCAGCTTTAAACAATGGTAAATATAACGTGTGTAATAATCCTCTTCCTTTGCAGGGTGCCTTAAAAATGAAGAGTTAGTGACATTAACAGAATTTTATCCAGAAGACATCAATGCCCTTCAGATATCCTTTTCAAAGCATTACAATTGCCAGATTTCAAAAGGTATTTAGCTGAAATATGTGGTTATCTGTAGAGATAGGAGTACAGTTCACTATACCATAAATATGGGAAAACAGCATTCCTTTTAGGCCTGGTTCACGAGCTCAAACGCAAACTGCACTCTAATGGCACCCCAATCACAGCTAGCAATCCGCTTGGCTTTCGGGCGCTTTACAGTGGGTGCAGTCGCACCCAGACGTAACCGCACAAAAAGGTGCAGGAACCTTGTTGCCATGCGGATATGACCTCATTGAAATCAGTGGAGCCGTGCGGCCACTGCAGCAAGCAACCGTGCATGAATGCGCGGCCCGGGCCGCCCATATGTGAACCAGGCCTCTGTCTGTGCTAGCTAACCCTTAGAATAATTAAATGGCATCTGGTACTAATGTAGAGTATAGACTTTCCTCTTAGGGTGACATCAGTTTAGTATTTGTTTGGTATTATTCTTGCACTGCAAGCAGCAGAGTATTTCCTCAGGTAAGTGAGATCATTTTATTGTTAGTTTAAAAATCTGACTTGTCTCTAGTCAGTCAGATACTCTAGTAAAATACTTTGGAAACACAATATGGTAAATGTTCCCATGCGGCCAAGACTTTGCACTGTTGTTGGGGTAAAGCATGTGTAGTCGAAAACTTGCCTTGGTCGCTTTAAAGGATAACAAAGCATAGTGGCAAATGGAACACATTCAAGATGAGATCCTTTACTTTTTAGTCCATGTATTAATTATTTGGCAGATGAAATAGAAATGTTGCTTTTTTGCGGAGACACAAAATGATGTACAAGTATTCAAATTAATCATGTTAGTGTCATAATGCAGAAGAACTTCAGCAGCATTGCAAGTTAAATGGCACGTGAAATTTAATGTAGAAAAAAACGTTATGTTATGCACCTAGACTGTAGGAACAGTGCCGCCATCTCTATATCAAATGTAATACAGTTATGGAAAACAGAGCTGGAAGAGAACTTGGGAATACTGGTTAACATTAAGCTACGGGTGGGGAAGTAAAAATGTGATGAAGAGTATCAGTGTGTTAATCCCCCTTCCTGTCCTGCCCATTTTTCAGTATTCAGCGCTGCGGTACTGTGACTGACATTTATTCCGTCATGCAACGCTGTACTGAAATTAGTTTTATACCATTTTTTGGGCCAGATAGAGATTTTGTTTAATGTTATTTATTCATCACTGGGTTTGTTATTTTTTTACTATATAAAGAAAAGAGGTCAAAACATTTAGAAAAAAAAATGTTTTGTTATGAAACATGAATTATTACCCAATTTTTTGGTCAAATATAAAAGATGGGGTCACGTTGGGTGCGCCTATAAAATTGCAAAAAACTACTATTCTCAAAATTGGCCATAGGCGACGCTTTTAAAGCTTTACTCATTAGCTTAGTGGTAACAGTGATTTAATGGCCCTAGACATTCGTGGTGATATGTCACGTGTGGCGCAATCATCATTTTAGCATGTAGGAGCACCCAACGCGTGTTTGTATGTGGTGGCAGGGCACTTTAAAACATTTCTTTTTTTTTTGGTTGATTTTAAATTTTTTTTAAATTTTTTTTTACATTTAACTTTATTGCCATCACAGGGGGCTAACAAACAAAGCTCAGACATCACCGGTATGAGTTTTAATGGTTCAGGAACGATAATGCTTTCCTATCATATATTTCCCTTAACTTATCTGCTTCACAAATTTGTATTCACAGAGCAGAATGTTGAAAAGCTACGGCTTACTTTCCCAAGCAGCACGGATTTCTTTGGAAGGATTGTAGTGTATCGCCTCGATGTACTTGGCCGCAAGTTTTGAGGATGTTACTTGGAGGCATATTTTAAATGAACATTCATTCCGTTGTTGCTGAACACTATAACGTTCCTGTGTGCTTATCAACTAATGAGCATTCGGTACAAAATCAGACATTCTGGAAAGGAAAATGTTTGCCAAAAGTTGGGATGCACCGATACCAAATACCGTATTCGGTACAAGTACAGATACTTGTCCTGCTCCAAGACTAGGCAAAGGTTAAATTCAAAAGTTAGGAGGCAGCTGTCATTTGTAAGGAGCACACGGAGCTCCTGGGATTTGTGCATTCCTGTATATATAAGGGATGCACCGATACAATTTTTCCAAGTACAAATACTGATACTTGCCCAAGTACTCACAGATACAAGTACTGATACATTTTTGTTTATTGTCATGTGACAGTTTTACTAAAACAATACAGACTAATGATTTCAGGACAGTGGTGGAGCGCCAGAGCCAGGTCCCAGCTGCAACCTCTGCAACCCTGGTAGTTCTCATGAAAATGCCAAGTATCGGCACTGGTATCTGAAAAGTATCGGTGCATTCCTAGCCAAAAGGGATCACATGCCTTGCATGTTGTGTCCAGGCCTTTGTTGATACCCATTATGCAAGGATGGAAAATATCCTTGATGGGCATGATAATAGCAACCATGTGTTTCACAACAAAGTATATGTAAGTCCGTTCACTTAAATCGCACATATGATTTTTATTTGATAATGTAATTTCAAAAGTAAATTTTAACATACTGAAATCCTGCATCTTTCATTCAAATAATACCTGGTGATCCTGCCATAAAGGTCATTGTTCAGGCACTTCTTGTTATAGGGTGACGACACTCTGTCCCTGTCTACCATTTTCTGCTGCACTGTCGCCCTGGCATGCACCTTCCCAATGGAAACTTTAAGCAGATGGATGCACAGTGTGCAGACAGTCATCTGTTGTCACCAACCGGAAACCCAAGAAATCACATGCAGCAGTTGCTGAGGACATGCTTGTAGACAAAATGGCTGCAAAGAAGCTGCAGACGTTTTGGTTTGCGACATAGGATAATAAAAGGTAAAAAGGAGTATTAAAATGGCAGCCCTCAGCAATCTAAATGTTTGTTACGGTTAAAGTGACATTAAACACTCTCCCCTCCCTCACTGCTGCTGTAAGCACTTACCTTATTTGATGCCTCTTGATGCGATCATCTTCATTTTACTAGATTCCAACACTGGTGCCGGTCTCTGACTCCTCGTGTCCCATGGTGTCTTTCCGGCATTCGCGCTCCTGCCTGCGTCCACTCACTGTCATTGTGTTTTCTCCCCCTCCACTCTACTGCGCATGCGCCCGCTCACTTTCCACCTTCACAGCCATTTGGGAGCAAACGGCGCTGGCACAGGTAAGTAATTCGGTATTTCCCTAATATTTTTTCTTGCAAGCAGCAGATATATGTCAAAAAAGGAAATATTTTAATACTCCTTTAAAGTGACATTAAAGTCAATTTTTTTTTTCCCTGTTAATGTCAGCACTTACCTTAAATGATGTCTCTTAATCCGATATTCCTCTTCTTTCCTGATTGTTTTCATCTGTCCCTCCAGCGCTGACTCCTCTGTCCTTGCTGGCACTTCCTGTCCCACGGTGTCTACATGCGGGTGCACACGTCCATATACTTACCTTGCGTCTCTCCTCGCCTCCCGGCTGAAAATCCGATCTGCGCATGCAGCTGCCCGAGCAGTTTTGGATTTTCGAGCGGGAGCGTGCGGCGAAAACGGGGTAAGTTTACAGCGTTTAAAAAAAAAAAATATTAAACTTTTTGCATATATCTACTGCTTGCAAGCAGTAGTTATATTCCAAAAAAAAACAGGCTTTAGAAACCCTTTAAGGACCCCTTTAATCCTGTGCATTGTGTAATGTGTGGTAAAATGCACAGTTACACACAGCATTCTGTGCAATGCCATTTATTTTGAATGTCACCCCAGAGCATAGCACAGCAGGTGCTCATGGATCCACACTGCAGTGCATTGCAACACATTCTGTGTATTGAAATGCACTTACAGGTCCAGTTTTTGTATTGTTGCCAAGCATTGGCAGCCCATTCTAAATGAATGAGCTGCCTTAAAGCGACACTAAACTCAGGAGTTAAATCTTATAAAAACATACAAGGACCCTAATTATTAACATAATGTATCTTACTTGTGTATCACTCAACTGTAGATCCTCCAATCATCTCTGAATTCATGCTGACACTGTCCTTCCTTCTGGAGGGTGGCTACTTTTGTTCCCCATGGTCCCTGTGTGTGTCAAAGCTCCAAGCTCACTCCAGTGATGGACTACAATCTCACTATGAATTAAACTAAATATGAGGTAAACTAAACATTTCTTTAGTAGAGGAGTACCCGTCAGTATAAAAATCTGTGTCCCTGGTGCAGATTTCCCCTCACTTCCTATCCTGAGAAGCTGGCTATACACTAATTGTCATACAACCCTTCATATGAAAAAATCTTGTCAGAACATCTGATAATGCTAACAAACCTGACGAATGTTGTTCAAAATTTGGTTTGGTTTTAACATTCTTTTTTGGAAATTGAGTTTCTTGATGAAAACCAGTTACTGCCAGAATTTAGTTTGAAAACGTTTTTCAACCCTGCTCTTTCGATTTTTTTTCTTCAACCACTGTGGTCGTAAACGGTTGTCAGCCCTATTAGCTATTAGAAAATTGAACAAACGTTCTGAAAACAAAAGTTTTTGAACGAAATTCTACTACTGTATTGCCAGCTCTAAATCCATTGTCACTAGGACAGAAAGTGAAGGGAAATCCCTCTAATGGAGCCCCAGATAGCTATAAAAACCCGTCAGGGGTTCTAATTAACTCTTCCCTACTAAAGCCAAAACCAGAAAAGTTTTTGGCTTGACATACCCTTTAAAAATCAAGATGTTCCCTATAAATAGCAGATTTTTATTCAGGTCCACTTTAAAGTATGAACAGATTAGATTGGTTTAGCTCTACACTTTTACTTTTAACGCGGCGCATATTTATCGATTAGTTTTACACTTTTACCAGACCCCAAATCTTGTTTACAAACGCAACGTGTAAAAAAATCCAATGCTTTATTTTTTAAAACATAAAATTATTCTGCTTAAAGAGATAGAAATCCTTTTATTATAGTTTTTTTTCTTGAAGTATACAGAAAAGTGATTTTAAGTTCATCCAAAATACCTTCCTATTACCTATTTACACATTACTTTGCAGAAACCCGATATCTTGGTAGCAGATTTGTCTCCGTTCACAGTTATTTTGTGGTATTACATATTTTATGAACTTGGGATTTAAAGGATTTCAAGAATTGTAGGTGCAAGTGTGCGGGCAAACGTTTTAGCTGGAATTGTTTTTATCCCAATACTATAGTCGTGTAGGCTGATTCATAATCGTAGGTCTAATGCAAGAAAAAGTAGAAATGATTCAATTAAACAGTATTGTATATTAAGAGCCCATTCACACCAGGGCGGTTGCGGATCAGCGCATTTACAATGCTGATTTCAAAAGGGAGGTTTTGGGAGTTTTTTTAATTGTTTCAGCGCTGAAACGCAATAAAAAAATGCCCAAAACCGCGCTAATCAGCACGGTTCAATTGACAGCTGTATGGAAACCGCACTGATCAGCACGGTAAAAATAGTGCAGGGGCGGTTCGGATCGCGCTGAACGGTCCCCATAGAAATGTATGGGGTCATTCATGTTGGCGGATCTGCGCGCCCAAACCTGCCCCGATGTGAACAGGGCCTCAAAGTGACCCAGTCAACAAATACAAACATTTGCAAAAAGCACATAATTAATAAAAAGGTGAGTAGTTACCTCATCTGCCACCACCACTTGCTGATCCAGAGGAATCACGTATTGAAGTCTTTGTGTGCATCGATCTACTATGTCCTCTGCAAAGCTCAGTGGTTCCTCCTGATGATCTCCACATCACTACAGGACACAGTAGTGAAGTGGACGTTGGCAGGAGGAACCACTGAGCACAATGGAGAGATAAGAGATTAACACTCTTGAAAAAGCAGTCTCTTACCAGGTTTCAGAGGAAAATATTTTTTTGCACTTGTGGATTGCTAATAGAGTTGCTTGTAAAAGCAAAACAATACTGTTTTTAGTGCATTGCTAATTTTAAAAATCTGCATGGATAAATGCCTCATATGTTGAAATTTATAACAGTATTTTCTTATCAAAAACCTGTAGCTTTAACCATGAAAGTAATAATTGGGTTGCAGTCATGTGACTGTGCCTAGGCTTCAGGGGTACAACCTGAGAGAATTATGTTATCGGTGTGTTGTAGGCAAGAGAAAAGCAATTGTCAATCTTCTCTCTCCTAGACGTCACTCCCAGAATGCGCACTGTTAACAAGGTGAAGCGGCGGAATGGGGCATTGGTTTACCCACTCAAAGACAACAACAAAAAAAGAATACTGGAGACTAGAGGATATACATGATTATATGATCTGTGTTGCCATCTTAGTCTGGCAAGCAGATGCTGCCCCTAGATCATGTCTGCGCAAAGACCATACTTTCCTTCTCGGAAGGAAGGAATTTGAACGCTTGTGAGGGGTACTGCAATCTCTTTAAGAGGCATTAATTGCCCGTGTCACACTTAAATATTACAAATGCATTGAAAATGGAAAAATATATCTGAAACTAGGGACCTTTAGTGGAAACCTGTCCTGGAAGAAAGTTTACTGCCTTTGTTGACCCCCTCCTGAAAATGCTCATCACCTAGCAGTCTCTTACCCCCTCTACTTTGCAAGTCCCGGACCTGTAACTCCTATGTATATCACTAGTTCTGGCTTCACTTGCTGCAGATCTGTTTTAGGTCAGTGTATTCATACTGGAGAGAATGTGTATGGCAGCCAGGCAACTAGCTCTATAAAGAGATTAGCAACAGCAGCCTTTATATTTGCCATGACAGGTTTCCTTTAAGCACTGGTCACTAGTGTTCTTCCAACTTCTCCCTTTGCGTCACTCAGTGGCCTTATTTCTTGTTACTGCTCTCTATGATACACAGTGACACAAACAAGTGAAAATGGTAGAGGTAGGACAACTGGTGCCTATAGCACAGATGAGCTAATAGTATATTAAAAGTCAGGCAGATTTTACTGTTCCAGTTATCAGCCCTAAAGTTGAACTCCAGTCAAACATTTTTTGGCCATTTGCAATGTAGATGCAAATGAAGATTAAAAGAGAACTATGGGGTAAGTGGTTTTGACCATAGTTCTCTTTAGGGTCACTGGAGGACATATACTAACCTCCTCCTGTGGCCCAAAGCTCAGTATATAGTGGGCTATTGCCTGCGATATACTGGGAGATCCACAGCCGGGGACGGATCCTGACATTACTGTCTGGATCCACCCAACTGCGTGAGTGACAGCTGTCTCTGCCTATCTATAGGCAGAGCCATCTGTGCCCGCTCCCTCCCCCGTCCATTGACTGGAGGATCAGAGAGGGGAATCCCTGCGGGGAGTGGTAACTAACACCATCACTGCTCACTGCAGGGAGCCGATCGGAAAGTGAATGACCGACTGTATGTGTTCGCTCACTTCTCGATCAATAGAGCCGATCTGTGACAGCTTCTTTGTCGGCTCTAACTATGAGGATGAGTGGAAATCACTCGCCTCATAGTTCTCCTTTTAATGTACACTAAAGTGCCTAGTGTGGCTACTGCTGTGTTATGTAACACTCTCGCTTTCATTTCCCCTCCATGCAATATAGTCGGCACTGAACGCCGGTGCTGAACCTTAGTGGCGGCTGGAGCACACAGATCACAGTGGGTTGCTCGCTCTGCAGCTTATCCAGTCCCAAAACATCTTGCATTCTTTTCAAAGAATCAAGGTGTCCTGAGATTAGAAGAGGTGCAGATGAATGTTACACTCTACCCTCGTCTAATCACAGAATACTTTGCATTCTTAAAAAGAATGCAAGACATTTTTCAGAATGGACAATCTGCAGAGCGAGTGACCCGCTCTAACCTGTAAGTTGCAGTGCTGGATGTTTAGCTGTGACTGTATTGTATGGGGAAGATAGAAAGTAAGAGTATTACATAACTCAGCAGGGGCCACGTATCGCACTCACTTCATTAGTGTTCATTAGTTTTTACATTGCAAATAGCCAAAAACAGTTTTTGGATGAAGTTCAGCTTTAACCACTTATGATATCAGAGATAAAATATGTTATTTCCTTCACATACCTGTTGTATACACGGGTTTATATGTAATCCACATTTAAAGAAAGCCTACTCTGGTTTATAAATATGATTTATAAGCTCATGAACCGAATCAAAGTACACAGATATGACTGTAAACAATACTGAAACAACAAGCACTTGTGCTTTCCTTTACAAGACCCTGTTCAATCCATGGTTTCTACCCACTGATTTATAATCTGGTATATAAAGTAGTATTCCACTGTCTAGTATGGCTAAACAATCTGACCTTTTGCTGCTCAGCACTGTTCAGGGAAACAATGCTAAATAGTCTGTCACAGCTTCATTTGTGTTGGCAGAACAGAATGGGTTTGTGGGATATTCAATTACAATTTTTTCGTAGATTTCAGCAGATTAGATATGGCAGCATCAGCTCAAAATGCAGCCCTATGAACAATTAATTGCATGTTCAGATAGTAGAAAGTGAGCTGCTTTGGGTGGAGGGGGGAAGGGATATATGTCTTGAATGATGCTATACCCTCTGTAAAGTGCTGTCATGTCCTGTAAAAGAACTTGAGCGATACCAGTCTCCCCCCTGTTGACCCCAATCTGACACTTCTATATGTGTCTTATGCCTGCAGGGAGGTGTGCTTCCTCCTGCTAGCCACTACACAACTTTGAGTATCCTTGCAGCTCTCAAGAACCTGTAGGCTGTACACCAGGCTTTGATCCCACATAAAACCTTATGTACTGAACAGCTGGGCTTCCCACTTGCCTTGATATAATTATGACAGCGCCTTTCCTTTTCTTTTTGGCTCTTCTGCTCTGAGAGAAAGGTAACACGGGATGATGCTTTTCCTGAGAGGTAAGACTGATATGGACTGGATTGTTACACATGCCCATGGGTAACTGGTTCTCTTCAAACATAAAACTGTTTGAAGAAGTTGTGGGAAAAAAAGTCTTCTACTGCACAGCACTAAACTGTAAAAAAAATAAGTGCAAACTGCGTAATAAGCCATTAATTGGAATTCGAATAAAAATGTGTTCCCAATGAAATTCAATACAAATGATGGCTTACATGAACTGGGACCCCTTAAAATCATTACCTGGAATCATTCTGTAGCCCTTATATTTGCTTGAGAACTTTGATAAATGCTGTTTTTTTTTTTGCAAAACTATTGCATGCATATGGCCAACATTATACCTGACAAACACATAGAGTAGATATTTGTGTATATAAAGCAGTTGTCATTCGTTGTGCCAAACAGATTCACCACTTTCCCCTAATTAAAATGTATCGAGCTATAGTTTTCTTAAAGATGATCTCCAGGGTTTAAAGACCTCTAGATTAGGGAAACAGAAGTAAGCCTCCCATCTAAAACCCTTTAAAACCTGGAGTTCTTCTTAAATGACAGAAAATATACCATATAGTATGGTAATGGTTTCAAAGTTGCTGATTAATGTTGGAGATACAGAAGAAGATAGGCTAAAATGCCACCTACAGTACACAGACCTTCCATCGTCATGGAGGGGCAAGGCACATTTACAAAGGGTAACAGCCAACATCCAAATGTCATTCCTGCTGCAGAAGACAAGCCATGGAATTCTTTCTTCATTATAATGTGTTAGACAAGTTAATCAGATAACGATGACCCTTTTTCTGAATGTGCATTCTTCTGTCAGGTCCTTCATTAAAGTATTTTGCCCTACAAAAGAAATGCCAGGTTGCTTAGTATTTGCTGTAGCATCTTGTCCATGACCTCTGTCAGATGTCGCAGCAGATGAAGATGAGCTCATATATCTCTCTACTTCTTCCTCTCCACGGTGTGTCACACTTGGCTCTGAAACAATTTCAGGATGTGATGTTCAATGACCTGTTGGACTAGAGAAAAATTGTAACATCGTAAGGTTGGAAAAAACAATCTCAAGTCCATTAATTTGTCTGTTTTCTAACACTGTATATGATCCCAGGGTTATGGCTGTCTTCTTTGTGTCAACGGTATTAAACAGAACTTCAGCACAGAAACACTGTCATATCTACAGCAAAGTCACTCTGCTTCAATGTAAGCAGCAACAATCTGCGTAGAACATGCCCAGTATCTATATACTAAACTGTATATGCTTGTTTAGCCTTAAAGCTAAAGTCCAGGCAACCAGCTAAATACACAGATGAAATACATATGTGTGAGTGCTTGGTAGTGAAGAAGACTATCACTAAGCCGCATACTCCTTGTTGACACATGAGAACTACTGATTGGCTTCTCGTACGGTACCTTGATCTCCCAGTCTAAACTCTGTTGTACAGGGTGTTGCAAGAGGCCAATATGAGGTCAAATTCGGATACTTATACTGCTTGCATTTAAAAAAAATGAATGATTAATGAATATAGAGCTACATGAACTTGTGTCTTTTAGATCGGCCTGGAGCTTTTTATCAAATCCTAAGTGAGCCTTTTGTTACCTCAATATTTATGGTGCCAATTCCCATTAGCTGTCATGTAATTGTTTACTTTTGTAGTGAAATTTGGGAACCCCTCCCCCCCCCATATGTTTTTTTATGTGTTCCCATTCACACAGTATACCTAAAAATAATAATAATTAAAAAAATTCATACCTGGGACCGGCTTAGTGGGTGTTGGCACATCCGTTCCCTCATCTCCTCCCTACTAAATGGAGTCGGAAGAAGGGATACCCCTGAGATTTTTAAATTCTTTGCTAGGACAGAGTGTTCATATCTAGTTTACGACTGATGATGAGATCAGTCAGGGCTACAGACAGGGTAAATTATGGTAAACATTAACTGCCCGACCTCCTCAACATCACATAGCAGGAGAAAATTTCAGTTTTGGAGTTTTCAGAAAAGAGCAAATCAAATGTAAGCAGCAATTTTTAAATATTAAAAATTGTAAAGCACTTCCTGTTCATAACTGGGGACACATAGTGAATGCATTAAGGTAAAAACAGCAAGCCTTTAGTACAACTTTATGAACACAGCTTCTATGACTGCATAATTGAATTACTCTTTGCTGATGTTTTCATTGAAATCATATTTAATGTACCTTTTTTATGACCCAGTGCCACAGCAAGATCCATCGGGGTATATCCAGAATCTGCCTCCATAGTTAAGTCAGCTCCTCTCTCTGTAGATATAACATAAGCATGCTCATATTCAAAACTAGTTCAGTGGGACTGATTATATAAAAGAATGAATGTAGAGCATTCATAATCCCTCTCCCTGTTGTTACCTTCATGCACCTTAAATCACAGCACCTCAATGTATTGTCCATCCTATATACCAGTGCTCCCCAACCTTTTTATCGCCGCGGACCGGTCAACGTTTAATAATTTTACCGTGGCCCGCTGAGGGGGGGGGG